CCTAAATACCACCACTTTCCAGTATTTTAACAGTGAGTTGTGCATAGTTATCTCCACAACTGAGATAATATGCTCCACCTTCTGATGTGTGCATATAACATAAATTTAAACCAGGGTAGGAGGCAGTGATATAACTAAGGGAAGAGTTTGGCATTAGTTACATAGTGTTATAATGGAGTGAATTTCTGATGGATTATGTGACAGTATACAAGTGAGTGAACTTTACCAAATCTGCTAGTATTTTAGCAGTTTTAAAGATTGTGTGATATAAATAAAAATAGTCTTTGTTTTGTGTCAGGAAAGCGTAGTTCTTGTTTCTCCCAATAGCATGCTTTAGGAAGGGAAACAACAAACTTCCTGTAGATGAAAGAAATGAAATAATTTCTGATGCTCTTTTTTAAAAACAGCTGCATGAAATTCCTAGATTACAGTTCTGTGGTTTGATAAAACTCCTAAATAAATCCTTAATCTAATAATTTCTCTATTATAATTGGCCTGTTCTAAATGTTTCATTTTTGAAAACAGGTAAAATAAAACTGACATATGATCAAATTTTTCTTTAGTAAAGGAGTTCTCTCTTCCCCTGGATTGGTGTACTCACTGCATGGAAGAAGGCAAGCACATGTGGTATGGGTTTTAACCATGCCACAAATTTATTAGTCAAATTACCTCCAAGGTACCCCTCCGGGGACAGTCCACTGCAGTCACTCGCACCCCATTGATCATTTGCCAATTTTTGTGGGCTCCCACCATCGGGGGAGCCAATCATCACACTAGGAGAGTCTAAGGGCACTTCCATTTGTCTGCTAGCATCCCTCCTCCTTCCAGGGCTTGAGGCGACAGGATACTTCGACCCCCAGAGAGCACTGTCATCAAGCACATTGGTGGGGCAGTCCCACAGGTAGTGCTCCTGCCCCAGTTTGTTTGCTGCAGGGCTTAGATATGATACTCCCATCTCATAAAGAGATGCCCTTGGGATGCCCACTATGTTACCTTTTTGGATCTGGAGCCTAAATCAATGGCGTTCCTGCATGGGGCACCTGCCACGAGGCACCAGCATCAGTTGGGCTGCTTCCATCCCACCCTGCATGGGCTACTAGAAGTTTGGCCAGCGCAATACCGAGATCATCTAGGAACATATTGCACTTATATCAGAGAGATGCACTCCTTCCTTTACATAAAGCTCAGTCATACTCTGAGCTTCGTGACCATGTCTGATAATAGAGCTACCTCGGGACTGCAGCCATGTTTCTACTTGCTATGGTCCTTCCTGTAGGCCATCTTTTTGTGGGTGTACTGCAGTTGGCCAAACCTTGCGGGCCAACATCTCCAACAGTACTATCCCCACACTGGGAAATGTGTTCACCGGCAGTCCAATATTCTGCTTAACCTTCAAAATCAGTTTGAGGTTGGAGCACATTCCCAGGTTGTTCTTCCCTAGGTGGATAATGATGATGTCAGGCGTATCCTCCCAGGGTGCCAGCCCATGCAAGAAGAGCATGAGCTGATCCCAGGATATGCCCTGTCTGCCATGCCAATACAGAATCGCATCCCTTCCAATGTCCACCTGTGAGCCTCTCTCCAAATTACGTGCTCTCTTGTAAGCCCAGTGCACAATGCTGTGCTCTCAAATCCCTATTCTCGACTGTGTGTGCTGCAATATATTCTTTATGATCGACATGGGGGAGGAAGCAGACATGATGAAAACCTGTGGTGCTTACAGCCCACCGCCTGCATTACCTTCCCCTCAGACACCTGCCGTAGGAATTACACACCCTGGATTGCCAGTGTCCTATAGCCTGGACCTCTGACTCACCCATGCCCAACTGGGTAGCCACTGTTGAGGCGTCTGTACAGAGAGAGTGGGAGGCATGCTCTCCTAGTGGCAAGATCAAGAGTAAGAGCTGTTTCTAAAAGACTCCCACAAACTGGAATTTGATTAGGAAGGAATGGTCACTGTGTAGAAACAGGGGACCCCCCCTCGCTGGGTTGGCATTGAGCCACATATATGTGCAGTTCCTGTACAGATGCAGGTTCATCTTACCAGAACGGTGCAGAACAACAGCCTCGCTGAACCGCCTTTGATCTGTTTTTGACCTGTGGACTTTGAACTATAGAGAATCACCTTCCCACTGCACGTCATGTAGTTTGGGAGCCCGCCCTGAAGAGTCTCTGTTGGCTGAAGGCCCCAGCTCACTGACCTGGAAGGCCCCAAAGAAAGCCAACAGAAAGGCTTCCTTGAAGAGTACAACTTCACACCTGCCCACCCGTGAATGGCAGATGCAAGGAAGAACCTAAACTGATTGGCTTAGTACCTGCAAGGTCACTGGTTTCCTGACATTGCTCTGTGTCCCAGCAGCCTGTGCCCAATCTTCCAGCATCCTATGGGCCATGAATCCCCTACAGGGGTCCAGATGACCTACAGACCCGCAGTCAAAGGACACCACAGCTAACTGGTTAGCTGTTGTCGGTGGTGCCAGCCATTGCCTATGTAGCGAGATCATGAACTGCCAGGTTTTGGAGATATGGGCCCTGGGGAGACTCTCAGCCCGCTGAATGCTTGGAATGCCTCAAACGCCATCATGTAGGCCAAACAGATGCATGGTGCAATGATCCCTTGGCTGTGGATATTGCTTCTAGCAACCAAGATTTCATAGGGCTGCCAGCATCTGGTTTGGTACCTCTGTGACCTCTGATGTTAGTGCTCTGAATCTGTCGACTGGCTGTTGAGAGAGAGCATCAGTTATGCCTTTGGTAAGCCCACGTACGTGCTTGTCAGTGAAAGGAATGTTGCATTGGCGAAAATGGAGAACGAAAGTCCTCACAAACCTCATTATCCTGGCAGATTTAGCGGACTGAAAGTTCACCAAGTGACTAACCGCTTGATTGTTGCACCAAAACCTCATCCTCTTGTCCTTGAACTCCCCAACCTGAATAGTGACCAGAATGGGGAAGAAATCCAGGAACGTGATGTCTTTCAAAACTCGACTCCCTCCATTCCTGGGGCCACTCATGGGCAGACCAGTGCTCCCTGAAATACAAGCCAAAATCTATCCTGCTTGCTGCATCTGAGTGGACTTGCAGGTCAGCCTTGATCATGTAAACATCCCTCCATACAGACACCCTGTTACAGTGAGTGAGGAATCAGTGCCAGGTCTTTCTTCATCTCTGTAGTGACCTTCATAAAGTGGTGTGGGCCCATATCTCAATAGTAGCAGTAGCAAACTGCTCACAAAAGGCATGCCCGGAGGCTATGACTTTCCATATAATGTTCAAGTTGTCCAACAGGGATTGGAGATCCCTTAGACAAATGTTTTTGGTCCTGCTGACTCTAACAACCATACGTATTTTTAGCGCCATGAATTTGTCCCAACTTAGGTGGGATTGCCCCTGGACTGTGTTGTGCTCCATACCTAGGTACATAAATGTGTTCTCAGGTCCCTCAGTTTTTTCATCAGCTAGGGGAATACCCAATTTGCCCATCAGCTCCTGAAAAACCCAAAGGGAGCCCCTTACACTCATCCTGCCTGAAAACAGAAAATTGTCCAGATAGTGTGTGACCTGTTGGCATCCTGCACACCGCCTGACTGCTCAGTCTAGCCTTGTGCTGAATTTTTTCAAAGATTGCCCATGAAATAGCACAGCCCATGGGCATTGTTCTGTCCACATAAAGCTGATCATGAAAGAGGTCGCAGTCATCTGGGTGGCCTGGGAAAAGGCAGAAGGCTGACTTAATGTCGTTCTTTGCAAGCAAGGCAAAAAGGCAGTATAAGGTGTCATGTGCCTAATGTTGAATAATGCGTAGCACATGGTGAACAGCCTGGGGTTGATTGCATTGTTCACCGATTTCTCTCTTTTGGGTATAAGAGATGGTACTCACCAGGAACTTTTAGGGAGAAGGCCCACAGGGGAGATATGGAGATCAGGCAACAGCATTTGCTGGACAGACTCTGCCCAAACCAACCTACTTTTGAATCTTAACCTCGCATCTGTTAAAGGGATATTTGCCATTTTGTGCACCCTCTCCCCTTCTATGGGATCGTGAACAAAACCCTCCCACAAATATATAGAATCCTCTTCCTTGGAATAATCCCTTAAAAGGTGGCTAAAACACCCAAGTTAATTGAAGATATTGCCTTTTTCAGCCATTGTGGCCCTGACCCTGCTCTGTGCTGTCTTGGGTTGCTCCCCGCATCCTCTGGGGAGGGTGTGCTTAAAACATGGGCAGCTTGAATATTCGTGCCTGCCTCCACAATGCCTGCATTCATGCCTAAACCTACAGGATGCATGAAAACACTTCCCTGTCTCAGTGTACACCCAGCATGAAAGCCTGGGCTGGCCAGGTGTGGGTGCCTTGATCCTCACCCTGTCCCCCCTTTTCACACCCTGACTTTACCAGTATATAGCCACTATTGATGTAAGGGCCCGTAACAGGCTCCCCCAAGCCGGGCACTACAGCCATAGTTCCTGATTGGTTTCATTCCAGCACAAGAAGTGGTTCAGGGTTCCCTCATTCTAAATTGCTCATCCTACCAGAGCACTGAGGTGCCTTAAAAAGTATTATACAGCCTGCATAACATATCTAGTACTTCAGCATGGGCCTATGCATTGCTGGTTATAGCTGTCCCATCATTCCCATGTAGGTGATTTAGGCTATAAGCTTGTTGTCCCAATTCATCTCTATCTTTGGGCGCCTTATACTATCTTTTTCTCTCCTCTCCACTTTATCCCTTTCCTCCAATATAGGCTCTCCCTGAACTGCAGGGAGAATACGTCCATGTAATCCACTCGCCATATCTTCTCCTGTGTTAACTGAAGGATGGGCCCCCAACTGATCTGAAGCAGCTGCATACGAGACTGCATTCAGACCCACATTAGTGGACCTCCTGGATTGCTGCATTAAAGGCTGTGGGGCCAGCAGCTGTGATACTGGAATCTGTAAGGCTACCATCTGAGGAACCAGTGGCTGGAGGGTTGTCCACTGGGGGCTCTGGGCATTGTGGTCCGCTGTACCTGCAGTCAAAATCCGGGCTTTGGAGCAGAGCCTGGAGCTGGAGCGCGGAGCAGCTCCGGAGTAGTGGAGCTGCAGGTTTTTGCCTGGAGCTGGAGCGGAGCCGGAGCACAGCTCCAAAGCCCCGGTAGCCATGGGACATGTTTTGTGACCTCTCCTCTGTTCATGTCCCACTTGTGTGCCCCTGCAGGCCTGACTCTGAAGCCACCCGGAGCCCACCCTGTTGCTCCCACCAGAACTGTGTGTCTGAGACAGCAGGAGTTGAGAGAGTGCTAAACCCCAAACACATGCATTTGGGGGCAGGGCTAAACAACCATGGCCTGCTGTCTGCTCTCCCAGATGGTCTTGCCTGTTTGTGAACTCACTCTACTGCAGGAACCGGGGTGTCCCATGCTGTGCCTGACTGTTTTCCTGAGCTGCAGTCCATTTTGGATCAGACTGAATCACCTCCATGAATTGCCCTATTCCTGGATACTTAGTAGTGGTTCCCTTCCCGACATCATGCTTTTTTCTTTCCCCTTCCTGACCTTTCTGTTTGCCTCCTGCTCCAGGATAGGCAACACACGTCCTCCTGCATCTGGCGGCTGCAATGGGTCTGTTAGCCCGTCCTGCTGCCCTACTGTGTCTTGGTCCCAGCCCTGCAGCTGGCCAACCATGTGCCCTGCACAGTCAACCAGAGTTTGATCATTGCCAGACTGCTGCCTATGATCCATGTGCACTGCATGCTTTGTTCCTATTTGGCTGCTGGAAACCAGCAAACGGGAAGTGGCCTTGTGCATTGGGCTCTTATAATGGCTCCAAATCTTGAGCCATATCCCACAAGACCTCAAGCCTACCCCAGAATTCCTGTGGGGGCTGGTGTCAAGTATCAGGGGGGTAGCCGTGTTAGTCTATATCTACAAAAACAACAAGGAGTCTGGTGGCACCTTAAAGACTAACAGATTTATTTGGGCATAAGCTTTTATGCCCAAATAAATCTGTTAGTCTTTAAGGTGCCACCAGACTCCTTGTTGTTTTTGTGGGGGCTGGAAATCTCATGGGATCTGGCCTATCCTGTCTTTTTGACCTCTCTGTCGCGGGAGCCATCGAACCACAACCCTTGCTAGGCTTGTGGACTTCAAATCATTTCAAATGCCAGATGAAAGGCTCTCAACCCTTTGTAATGAATGGTGTGCGTCTCCCCCCCCCCCCACTAAGTCCCAGAGATATGTCATGTCAGCTCTTGGTCATCTCATGTTTGTGAAAGTTGTTGCATTGACCACATGGAGATAATAAAATAATTTATTTAGTGAATAGGGAATAATAATGCAAACCTTTCTATGCTATCAACATACTATTTTGTCTTAGAGGGATCGCTTCTCTGGTGATTGAGTAGTAGAGTCTACACCAGTGATTCTCAAACTTTTGTACTGGTGACGCCTTTCATGTAGCAAGCCTCTGAGTGCGACCCCCCCCCCATTATAAATTAAAAACACTTTTAAATATATTTAACACCACTATAAATGCTGGAGGGAAAGCGGGGTTTGGGGTAGAGGCTGACAGCTTGCGACCCCTCATGTAATAACCTCGCGACCCCCTCAGAGGTCCCAACCCCCAGTTTGAGAACCACTGGTTTACACCCATTTCTTGATCTCTCTCTTAGACTGTCATCAAGGATGCCAGTTGTTGTATGGTACTTGTTCAGTATAGTTTCAATCAATTTGACTGGTACTGAAGTTAGGTTTACTGGCCTATAATTGCCAGAATTGCCTCTGGAGCGCTGCAAGCTCTGTTCCTTTTGGCTGCTGGAAACCAGCAACCAGGAAGTGGCCTTCTGTACAAAGCTGACTCTTTTCACCATGACTCTTTGATGACTGTAATGCAAATTAATTTGCTGTTCTGGCATAATGACCTGTTGTCCAGAAAAGCTGTTGGAGCAGTCTAAACTATTCCCTAGTTCAGCATTTCTCAAATGCGGCCACCAGGGGCTTTTAATGTGGCCACGACAGCCTTCGTGCAATGATAGGGACGGGGTGAGGGGGAGGGGTGACAAAGCACCAGCCATTCCCCCCTCCGTCCGTGTTGCTCCTGGATGTTCCGCCTTGCACCACCTCTGCATGGCTTTGGTGCTAAGCCCTGCTCCGGCTGCGCGGCAGTGGGTGCTGAGCCCCAGCTCTGGCCACGCTGCTCCAGTCATGGGGTTTGGGGCTCTGACCCCTGGCTTTGGCCACACAGCCCCGGCCCCTGGTGCTGATCCCCAGCCGCACTGCAGCAGGCGCCGACCCTCGGCTCTGGTCCCAGGCTCCAGCCGTGTGGTGATGGGAGCCGACCCTGGATGCTGACCCCTGGCCATGCAGCAGCGAGTGCCAGGCGCTGACCCCTGCCTTCGGCCACGTGGCCCGGGGCTTCGGCACTCAGCTCCTGGCTCTGGCCGTGTGGCACTGGGCATTGGCCCTGGGCAGCAACCCACAGCTCTGGCCATGCAGCAGCAAGCTCCATTCCCCAGCTCTGGCCATGCAGCTCCAGCCGTGTAGCTCCTGCTCTGGGCTCTGGCCGCAGAGGGTGCCGACTTCTAGTGCTGGCCATGCTGTGGTAGGGCTCATTACCCCGCCTGGCTCCCGCTGCCTTCCTGGCCTCGCATTCATCCCCAACATCACTCCGGGTCCCCCACTGCCTCCCCTGGCCCCATATCCATTCAAGTATTGCTCCTGGCACCTGCTGCCTCCCTCTCCTACCTCCCTATCCAGGGCTTAATTTGTCTTGAGGCTTGCTGAGAAAATGATATTCACAAACATGCAAGTATCACTTTTTCACAGCAGACTCACTAGCTAGTTGGGAGGCTGTGAAAAAAGATATGTGTATGTTTGTTAATATCACTTACCACTTTTCACAGCCTCCCATGTAACTACTAAGTGTACTGTGAAAAGTGATATTAACAAGTATACAAATATCACTTTTCAAAGCATTAATTTTATTACTTAGTCTGCAAAAAAAACAAAAGGAAAAAAAATAAAGCCCTAATTTACGATTTGAATGTGTACATGTGCATATTTATTTTTCCTAAAGTTAATTACATATTTTAGGAAAAAAGTGTCAGTGCAGCCACCAGCAAGAGTTGATGGCTGCACTTTGAGGCCACCAAAATTTTTGTTTTGAGAACCCCTGCCCTAACTAATGTGATCTTACAACACAGGTACAGCACTTTTTAAAGGGAAAGGCTGAGACATGACTAACCTGATTCAGTAAACAGGAAGTTTAGAAGCCAAGAGTGAATCTGTTAAAGTCAATATGTATTTTGTTGACTTCAGTGGGGCCTGGATTTTACCCTTAAATAAACCTTGGATGTCTTTTTGAAAAAAATGCTCTCGCTCATCTGCGAGATATGGGTGAGTCTGTAATTTCTTCTTCACGTAGATGTTGTTTGAAGTATTGTAGTGGATTGTGCAGGTTTAGGCAGTGCTCCACTCTAGTTTGATACTAATGGTTAGTTTAGTATGCTTATTGCTAAAGTCTGTGCTATTTCCTGTCCTTACTTAAGGGAATAGAACATGGTGTGATTATACACAGCTTTGTAAAATTTGATCAAGTTCCTGCTGAGTTTCTGGCTTGTCCGAACAATTACGGTTTTTTTCCATCCTAGTAGATTTGTTTATACAACAAAATGTATTGTTCCAGTTTCCTCTGGTGCTGTTCACTGTTCATTCTAAGCCAAAACTGTTAGCTTGGAGCTATTTTAGCCTCTTTGATTTTCTTAGCATTTACTTTCTAAGCAAATACTCTTTGATCCCCAAGATTTTTTTGTAAGAATCCTTTTTTCTGTGACGCTTGGCAGATCATGGGTGTCTCCCTGAATGTTGTGGTTAGAATTGTGACACAGTATTCCAAGGACATGCAAGGTGACATTCCTGATTAGCTATGAAGTTCCATTTCTATACAGTGTTTATTTTAATCAAAATTCCTTTGTAATTCCATGTGGAATTCTTCAATTTAGAAAAGCAAAATAGATTTTGAATTTTTAATGGCTTAACTCAATCTTATACCTGAAGTTTTCTTGGCAACATAAAAACAATGGTTCATGTGTATTTTGCAGGGAAAAACCTGTGGAAGAAGATGATTTTGTAGCCATAGAAGTAATGGTCAGAAACCGAATAGCAACACTGGTGCTAATTTAACATTTTGTGGAAACTAGTAAGTTCCATAAAGTGTATTATGTGTGAATAATCAGTTGTCAGAGTAAGTTTAAACAAAAGCTGTGATAACTGTTATAGCTTTATGCAAGTTGAGGCAAACTTTGAAACAGTATTGGGCTATAGTTTAGTATTTAGTGTTCATATGAAAGACGGGGGGGGGGTCTTTGGAAAGAGGCACTTGAAAAAGTTAGTTCAAAAGTGCCTTATGGCAATGAGTATACAGCAGGGGCTAGTTAATTGGCGTGAAGAACATTCATTTTGCTATTTTTTTACCTCCCTCCATCTTAATGGAATATTTTTCTGTCAAAGATGGTAGAAAGAGACTCTACAAAAAAAAAAAAACCCCTCTCCAAATGTAGGCATTCCCAGCAGTATGCAGCATTTATTTTTGGCTACAACAGAAGTATGATTAAATTTTGATAACAAGTGCCATTATGGTCAGAAAATTCAATGTTTTTACTCTTCATGCCTCTCTTACTTTGGCATCTCTTTTTTCCCCCCTCCTCACTAGATTACTGTGTCTCAGGATGGTCAGACGCTCAGGATACTTCTGCTGTATGAATTATGTTGTGCGATGTTTTCTCCTGGCATTTGCGCTCTATAGGCAGCAGAAGTTGGTAGTTGTAGAATGAGAGATTGTAGTGAAGCACCATAGGCCTGCTGATAGGGCACTGCTGGTGCTACCCACTCCAGCTCTCCAAAGATCAGGTCCAGGACAACTGCCCCGCTTCTCTCCCTGGTGGTATTCTTGTTTAAAACCATAATGGAATTTTCGTGGCAGGCAGAGACAAAAGGAAGCAAGATGATACTTAGAATGATGTTTTCAAAGATGGTCATCACAAAACTTTTTACAAAATACTTCAGTGTGTGTTACTGAATGTTAAAATTTGTAAAAACTCTTGAATTCCATTAAACTTAACTACCTCAGCTGTTCTCCCTCTCCCTGCAGATTTGAAGGGGGTGTCTGAGTCCTATGTTGCTTTTGACATCATAAGCAATTCTTGTTTCCACATTCATGAGGAGCTGCTACTTAATTCATTCTTGTAATGCTTCTGGAACATAGAAATGGCAACAGCATGGGGCTCTGGGAACAGTTTTGCAGAGAGAGGGGAAGCCACAATAGAGTTATGAATATAAACTTTAAGTTTTGTGGAATTATTGTGAAATTTTACAAATTTAACTTTTAGTAACGAATATTTACATTTAAAGTGCCATCCACATTTTATGATTGCCTGCATTTTTGACCAGTACAAATACATCTGCAATTTCGAAACTTCTCTAAGTATTGGTCTTGGATAAGTAATTAGGG